ATCAGAGCAATATTCAGAGAAGGCCATTATTAATAAACTATTGTATTTATAACCACAAGAACAGCAAAATTTCCCTAATTGAAGATTCTTTAATACAGGAATAAGCAGCCTGTTCTATATTTCCATGAAATCAAGACATTAATAGATACTAATAAAAAAAACCATCAGAACATAACTGAACAGAAAACAGAACACAATTGAAAAAAACATTTCCTTTATAGTCAGGGATCTGGAATTTCTCAGGAAAAACTTAGAAGTTTTGGGGGCAGTGTTTAACAGAAACACAAACAGAGCACAAAACAGATTCAGGCAACTCCACACAGAAAAATAACAGAAGAAACAGGCCACACAAGTTTTGGGACTTGTACAAAATGAATCATCAGAAAAAGCACCTTAAGAAGATTCTCTCAACGAGACAGCAATTAATGATCAGCATCGTCCCTTTCTGCCAAACAAGACCAGAGAGAAGCTGCAGATAACTAAGTCATTCCAACCAGAAGCTTTCTACTCTTTCAGCAACACCCTTTGTCTAAACATACAATCCTGTCCTCTCCTCAAGTAAGTTTATTACAACAGAACTGAACTTGTCTTTATTCTTATAAACAAAACAATCAACCAGCCACAGGAAAACTATTTCATAATGCAAAGGCACTATGAGGAACAATTATCTACCCTGATTTGACACAAAGCCCCTTCTCACAGACTTATTTCAAAATCCCAAACCAAATCCCTCTCCTCTCTATGCAGACAGCGATTTTCTGCACGTGCTTTGCAGCCACCATAATGCAGGTCCCAGCAGAAGCAGCTACAGATGCAGTGAAAACAGAGGCTGCTGCGAAAACACGAGATTCCCCTTCTCTCCCTGCACCTCTGCTCACAGTCCCCTGTGCAGTCAGCACAAGGATTGGGAAAGAAGCTTCTAAAGCAGCACTGGGACATCCTCCATCTTTACCACAGATCTTGAAGGGAAAATAAAAACCACAGAGAAGAGATATATTATTTGTTTACTACAGGCACCAATTCTGAGAACCTTCTGCAAGCTTGATTACCTGGCTTGACTCCCTCATCCAGACTCCTTAGCTACACTTCATTTACCTTCTCCATCCCCCCTCCTTTCCCTTTTCCTACTTGTAAGCTCACAGATCCTTGCTCTGGAGATGGTTTATGCATTTACTAATTAAGTCCTGTACCAAAAGGCAAATATATCTGCTGGAGCTGCAAACATTCCAAGACATGAAGTAGATGAATACTAATAAATAATCCAGGCATCTGAAGCCATAAACCACAAACTTTTGCAAGCACATGCCAAGGTTGTTCTAGACACCTCACTGAATAAAAATGAAGCTGGGGGAAAAAAACTCCTATTTTCAACTTCCCCATACTCACCCTGAAACACAAGTTTAATGTTCAAATACATTTCAAAATTAGGCTTTTAGTTACCACAATATCCCAACAGACAAGAAGTAAAACAGAGGCCAGGAGGAACGTACATATTTCATGTCATAAAGCAACTGCTGCAGACTACAAGCACACATTTCAACAGCAGAAGGAAATCCAAGTTATTATTCCTAGAGTTGCTTACACTACTTTCTACAAACATCTACTGAAGCCTTTTGAAATGAAGTGTTAAGTGTCTCACAAGAGCAAACAACAGATTAAAGTGCAGAACTCCAAAGGAAGATTTCCAGCTCACTTCAGAAAAATTAAGGATCTGTGCCGCAGAAAGACATAAGAGCTTACAGGAGATAACTGTTCTGCAGCAGTTCCTCTGAACCCTCTTTACTGCTCATGAGTAGGGAGGAGGAGGGAAAGCAGTGCTTAGCTCTCTTTTTAAATCTGAAGCCAAATTTGAAGCAGAAGGAGCAACTCTCCACTAAAAACTCTAGGAAAAAGAAGCCTCCTTTCTAAACCACCTGGCTGGCTGTGATGGTGCTTGGTTCGGGGTTTGTGGAGCTGTGTCTGTATCTGCCCTGCAGCACAAATGTCTCACTAACACCTCAGAGTCACCAGCTGTATTTCACACTAGAATCGTGAGGTAGGAATGTTGTCTGATCATTCTAACACTTCAGCAGGCTGCAAGACAACACAAAGGCCTTTCAACCACAATTCAGTTTCAATCTGAATGAATTCATTCACAGCTTCAATAAAAACCAAAAGGAAAAGCTTGATCACCAGAGAAATTTGTACCATAGTTCTGGAACTTTAGATTCTCCAGAACCGAAACTTTAAAAATTCATGAAAGCAGAAGTTTGAGTACTCATCAAGCAAGCAAGCAAGCACAGAGCTCCAGTGATAACAATGAAAATTGGAAATGCTCAGCAGGCATTCCATCTTTATTCACCGGATCACTGTCTAAATGATGCCAAACTAATTAAAGTAACTCTATAAGACTACCACTGTAAGAAGAGACGTGTTGAGTAGCCCATGCCGTGCCTCAGGATCCTTATCCTGCTCCGGAGGGAAAAGAACAGAGATGCACTTGCAGTGATTTCAGCACACAGCAAGACTCCTGTCACTGTTACATCCTGCAGGATTAATAACCAGCAAGTGGAAAAAGCACTGACAGCACTTTCATGGAAACAACGGAGCACGTTCCATAGGATGCCAGCATGCCAGTGCCAGACAAAGCTTTGTCTGGACGCACTGGAAAAGCGGCTGCGTGTCGCCTGCGTCCAGGGCTTATCAGCTCAGTGCCAGCAGAGCTGTTTGTTGGGCATGCGACTTTTCCATGACCAACTTTTCAATTTGGAACTGTACTGGAATAACAATGCGTTACATTCATGTCTTAAAGGGCAACCTACAGGGAATAAGCAGAGTCGTGAACCCAGGAGAGCACCCTGTGATGACACAGGCCTTATAGGCCTTACTGTCCATCCCCAACCCAGCCACAGCCCTCACAGGCAGGAACTGGAGTGTCCAGCCAGGCTGCCCACCCCAGCCCACACATCCCGACCTTGCACAGGGCTGTTATCAGGGCTCTGAGGAGCAGTGCAGAGAGCAGGAGTTCAAACACAACACCCCAGACCTCATCTCGTGAGAGGCAAAGCAGCTCATGTCCTCTTCTCCAAAAGGATAGGGAGTCACTTTTTTGTTGAAGTTCAAAAAACAAAACTTTTCAAATTTTCCAAAAGCAAGGAAGAGAGGCTTAGACTTAGAGAGGTAGGGACCAGCTTTCTCTCCACATTTCAAACCACTACACATCAGAAAATGGAAACAATATGCACTGTTCCAATCTGGCCTCTCACTTGTATCTGAGCATCCATTCATGTCTCTCCCACCACCCAAATCCCTATCCCTTCCTCTGGCGCTGCTGCACAAAAAACAAGAACTGGGAAGCTACAGAATGAAGGGAGAACAGTTAGAATGTCTTAGCTGTGCTACTGATCCGTTCACACAAACCTGAGAATAACTTAACACCAGATCACGAGGACGATGATTAATGGTGCAAGTATGTCCTGTTGTAAGAGGTACAAAGTTACAATTAATATCTAAATAGCATTTACAGGCATCAACTTTAACAGACTTTGTCACCAGTAGACACAAAGATCCAAAATGTAAACTTTACTGTTTCAAAGTTGTCTATGAAGGAAAAATTGTATCTATTTCACTTTCACTCTATCTTAAAAGTTTTAGCATCTTGTTAAAAAGAGAACTGGCATGCTCAGCAGCTATTCTGAGTCACTGGCTGACTTCCTCACTTTCCACATCTTTAAAGATAATCACAATTACATCACTAATAAGCCATTATTTATCCTGATTCCCATCATCCGGTGACTGAGTAGTTTCTACACTGCCTTTTTCAAAGCTAGAATGTGACAGGAAACAAAATCATACTCACTCTTCTTGCACCAAAAATTGCTTTTAAATAATATTTGATATAAAAAAAAGGAAGGAGGGAAAGCCAGAGCCAAAGAAGTGCCCCTCCTAAAGTTTGGAGAGCAACACAAGATTTCTAGCACTTTCTCAGGCTTAATATTTGTTAATATTTTACATCTAATTCATACTTATAATACATAAAACAGACATTAAAAGAATACAGTATTTTCAGTCATTCATTTGGACATAATTTTTAAAGATTGTTCTCACAATTTAACTCTTATTATAGATCTTTTTCCACAAAAATTCTATATTTCATCATTCTGGCTTTGCTGAGTTTTGATCTATGAATCATCAAGCACATTCTGTGGCAAATCTATGTCAATTAAAATAGGAATACGTCTGTAGAGCACAAAAACAGCCACAGGCACTTTAAAAAAAAGAATACACTCCTTCAAGGGGCATGTATCCCAATATATTAAGTAAATAATGTATATGCAAGGGGAGCACGACTACACTATCAGCTTGTCAGAGTCTGCTTTGATTCAGCTTCGTTTAATCATTACTGCTTCAAGTGCTGAATCTATTCTACAGGAATTTATTAATAAAATGCACCTCCATCGCCCCGTGCCCCCATCACCCCAAAAAACTCCAGACAAAAAGGAAAAAAAAAAGAATCAACAAAACACAAAACCGGACCAACAGGTAGATGGGAGAATGGGGATGAAGTGACCGCCGGGGTCACATCACACCAGCTGTGGCAAAGCCAAAAACCTAAATTAGATTTGAGAGCCCGGCCCAGCACTGCAGCGAGTGCTCAAACTCCTCACAGAGCCAGAGTCGGTGACAAAGGGAAAAACACGCCTTCATCAGCTCGCTTTCTCCTGTCACATCACCCACACCCGGGAATGATGATGGAAAAGGTGAATTTTGAGCACTTTTCCTCACAGCTCCCATCTTCAGGCGGCAGCTGCCTGGCCATCGGCTGTTCTCCCTCCCATCCTTACTGGCCGTGACGGAGGACCCGGGGAAACGCCCGCTCATCTTCCCCACGGGACGGGCCCGACCTCCCCGGGATAGAAAACTCCTCGGGAAAGAAAGCAGCGAGGGCGGGCGGCGGGGCCGAGCGGCCGCTCCCGCCGGGCCGACCCCTCACGCGGGCCCGGGCTGGGGCTCCCCCGTACCTGGCAGTGTGAGACGACGAGGCTCTGGTTGCCTTCCCCGTGGTACTTCCATTCATTCTCATCCATCTTCTCCACTTCCATGCCCGGCCCGGGCCGCGCGGAGGGCAGGAGCAGCCGCCGGCCCCGCCGCCTCACGCCGCCACCATCGCGGCTGCGCCGCCCGCCCTCAGCCACGGGAAGTCCCGCCCGCCGCGGGCGCCATCTTGGAGCCGGGCGGCGCCGGCGCCGCCGCCATGGCGGGGCCGGGCAGCGGGGCCGGGCAGCGGGGTTCCCTCAGGCGCCGCCCGGGCAGAACCGGCGGGGCAAAAACATCTTCTGCCTCCGGGAACGGCAGCTCAGAGGAGGGGATGGCCCCGCTCTGCTCTGCAACGGCCTCACCTCGAGTCTTGTGCGTGGTTTTGGGCACCACACGATAAAGAAAGGGATTAAGCTGTTAGAGAGCATCCAAATGAGGCCATGAGGAAGCAGAATGATCGGGAGGGAAAGGCTTATGAGGAGGAGCTGAGGGCACTTGGTTTGTTCAGCCTTTAGAAAAGGAGACTGGGGGGAGATCTCATCTTTGTCAGGAACCCACCCAGAGTGGGATCGGGCACTGGACCGGCTCCCCTCGGTCACAGCCCCCAGGCTGACAGAGCTCATGGAGACTTTGGACAATGCTCTTAGGGACAGGGTGGGATTTTGGGGTGTCCAGAGCTGGACTCTGGTCCTGATGGGTCCCTTCCAACTCAGTGTGTTCTACAGTATGGGGTGCCCATATAAAGTACTCAGTGTGAGGAAGATGAGCTCACTGCACAGAGTCACAGAAACAATTGGGCTGGAAAAGACCTCCAAGACCATCAAGTCCAGCTTACAACCAGTCACCACCTTGTAAACCCGACACTAAGTGCCACATCCAGTCTTTCCTTAAACACCTCCAGTTACTCCAGTGACTCCACCATCTACCTGGACACTCCCAATGTCTTTTCAGCTACAGTTCCCAGCTACGCTGGTTTGAATTTTATAGATGTTTTCTCTTGCAGTCAAGTTCAATTAGCCTTGTGCTCCAGTACACCAGGTCATTCACATACCCAATGTTACAAGCAGAAAGATTAACATCTCTGTAACATTCTTTAAAAATTAAACATTAAGCTGTTTTCCCAAGTATGAATATACATATACATGATTTAAAATATACAGAAAACAATCTAAATATTCAAACTCCCTATCACAAACACAGGATTAAATTCTAGAACCCTTAATCCAGTAATTTTTATGACTATGAGTTTTGACCACAAGCAGTGAAACTTACCCTTCAATGACCACTTTAAAACAGTCCCTAAGGGCTCTCTAAAATCCCCCCTTTTCTTTCCTGCTTCCTCACAAAGCTCTTGATGACAGGGGCCAGGCTGACACAAAAAGAGGTAATTAACACTCGAAAGCTTTCCTCTGTATAATGAACATTTGTATAATTTGGATAGTACCCAAACTTGACTCTCTATTGCAGATTTTCAAAAGAAAGTCAAAGCAAAGTAAACCGTGCTTTTTTTACAGAGAGAGAAGATGCACCTAGAAGGCTGAAAATAAAACTTGCATAAATCTGCAATGAGTCATTGATCTTTTTTATTTAATGTGTGTGGTATAACTTAAACACATCATCGAATTTCACTAAACTTTTAAAAAATGGGGGTTAAACAAAATATGTGATAAAATATTGACTGCTAATCACTTTTCCTTTTTTATCATACTTATACATGCCTACATAAATAAGGAATTCTTGCTCCTTTGACCGTTTCATAAAGATTAAAATAATGACAGTGATTTATTTAAAGTAGGTTTCTGTCATCTGTGTTTGCAAAGTTTCTCTATATTGTGTTACTAGAAATGCATATCTAAAATATGAGAATTAACTATTATTAACTATATACTATTCTGACTTTTAAGTGTGTTATAAAGAAGTTTCAGTCAGGACTGTAAGATTGTGCTATTTATGGTACACTCATTTAAAAATAACTGTACTTCAGTGAAATAGCATTTGAACACTTATTAGGCTTACATAGAGATATAGGGAAATAATGTCCATGTATCTTGCAATGGCAAAACTAATTTGTCTCGATTTTAAAAGGAACTCTAGCATAGCACGTTCTTTCATAGTTCTGAAAAATGCACACCTACAGGGTTAAAAATAAAGTGGAGGTTTGAGTGCACGGGTAAACAACACTGAGGACACCAAGTTTTAACACACTTCTCTCTAGCAGGGCACTTCCCTCTCCACCTTTTCCTCCAGCATTCCAAGGTGCACAACTACCACTTGGGCAATGTGAGGAGGTGCTCCGAAAATACACTGGTGAAACTTAAACCTGGAGGGACAAAAGCCTATTTAACACATGTTATTTCTCCCTGCATTATCAGGTCTCATGACTCATTTCAGGTGTTATCTACAACGTGAAATATCAGAAGCTTTGGTGCTATTAATGATATTCAGGTATTGCTTAACTGGAATTCCCCTGTCAGGTGGTGTAAGTACAGCTGGTGTGGACATACCTGGATGGATTTTAATTAGGTGCCTTGAGGTCTGTGAGCACGGAGCTCAGTGACCTGCAAAACCCACCTGGGCATCTCAGCAGATGGCCAGGTATCCTGTGGTATTTTAGTATGTAAATGAGTTCAAAACTGCAGCAGGAATGCATAATGTAATAGTTGCTTCAGTCCTCCAGCCCCCACTTCATCCCCTCAGCAGTTCTTTTTTTGATGTCACATGAAGGGGTTGGGAGAGCACCACATGCCTGAAATCTCTTTTCCTCAGAGTGCTGTAACTGCATTGTGCTTTATGGCACAGTCCCTGTTTCTTGGGGTACTTTGGTATTAGGAAGCCATCAACACTGGACTCTCTCCTTTGCCATCTTTTGCAATTTGTAAGTTCACCAAGGAATGAGAATGAAATTGTAAGAACAGTCCACAGTTCACTTATTCACTTTGAGGAGAGAAAAAAAGTATCAGGCAAGCATTTAATGTTAACATTCTTTGCTATAAAAAGTTCATTAAATCCACAAAAAATAGCATTATGTGAGACTTGTGAGAAAATTGGGTGCCAATAATACAAAGGTCTTATAAGCTCATGAGGATTTTTGCTATAATAGGTACATCTTAGTTCTCCTGGTTCCTAGAATGAAAGGCTTCTTGTATAAAAGAAAGGATACTTTGTTCTTTATGAAAAGAATAATCA